GGCAAATGAATAAGTGCAAGGTACACCGGATTCTATAAACGACTCCATTAGAGTTTTTGGGGCTGAATATGTAGAAACCTCCCATTATGTCATTTGATTTTCTGGACCGTCCCTCTATTTTCTATTTTCAATCTTTTTCCCCCGTCGCTGAAGATGCAACTCAGCAGTCTCCGGACACCATTTATTGTCGTCTAGTTGAATGTTATACGCCCTTACATGCATGGGAAACTCTATGCTCAGGTCTGGGTTTTAGCCTGTGGTCTCGGGCCTCTATTGTACGCCCTTGGTTAACTGCACCGTTTGTCAACTCTCGGTCTTTTGCTCTTGGACCGCGCTTCTCATGTTGGCCTATGTTGCTGTCTGAAGTGGTTACTTCGCTAGGACGTCCTGTTTAGATACGGCCAATAGGCAGCAGGTAGCCTGTCTTGTCGTCGGCTCGGTTAAACGTCTGTTGCCAGCAGCGTGCATTTGATCATTGTTAAATGCTCTCTAGCAATGCATGTTTATAGAAGTGAAAAGTTGATTTATGCGCCGATCTAATTGACACAAGAATCCGTTTCTGTGTACTTACTTCTGCGCCGCTACTTCCATGTACGACCGGCTAAGGTCATATTCGTTAGCTAACTTCTTATTGATACCGCATGCCGCCCCCCTCCCTACCTCCTCCATTTGTGTGCTTAAAATCTTGGTCAGATTCTGAAACCACCTAATCCTTTCGTGTATGCACGTTGCATAGACTCACCTAGATATGCTACTCATCACCTTGTTTGTTCGAAATACCACTTTAACACTTTATTCGCATTTCCATTTAATTCCGCCTCCTTCGTGTTGCAGGCTTTCACCTCTCCAGTCTCCATGATGGATGCTTCCAGTGCTGGTGGCCGTCTGCGCCAGGTTGTGGAGGCCTGGTGCTCCTACATGTCCTCTACCTCATTGGACCGCTTCGAGGATTCTGACTGTTGCATTTCTCAACGTTTCTCCCTTCCGCTCTTCACCTCGGCACCCACTAAACCCTGCGCCTGTGTCCTAGACTCCCTCTTTGACCACCTTCTGCTCC